AAAGATCTCCAGCAATCTAATCTGCAATGCCTCATAGTGCATTATAAAACAGCAAAAGGGTGAGAAACAATATCATAACAAATAAGGCATAAAGGCATATATACATATATATATCTATATATATCAAATCCACAATCATGCATCTTACGCTTTCTCACCACGACTCACATCGTACATCGCAATGTATCCACTAAGGTCTATTTACAAATAGAACATCAAGCATAAACAATATGCATCATTAAGGTTTATATCCATTCAGGAACATTCATACATGTTACACACATATACATATATACATATATTCATTCATACTTATATATATACATATATATATCTTCAAGCATTTCATTATGTCATTCACACTTCTCACATTATTCTAATAAACATACACAACATGTTTATTTTGCCATACATCATGCACAGATGTCAACACGCAAATCATCGAGGCCAACTCGCTACTCTACGCGAATGCGACACATTATCGACTTAATCGTCCGTCAGATTCTCCTAAGAATCAATTCACTCCCACCCCTCATGGGCATACTATAACTCATTAGAGCTTCCTAGAAATCACATCACTCATCAGACTCTCCTAGGAATCACACCATTCATCAGATTCTCCGAGGAATCACACCATTCATCAGATTCTCCGAGGAATCACACCATTCATCAGATTCTCCAAGGAATCACACCGTTCGTCAGATTCTCCTAGGAATCACATCGTTCGTCAGATTCTCCTAGGAATCACATCGTTCGTCAGATTCTCCTAGGAATCACATCGTTCGTCAGATTCTCCTAGGAATCACATCGTTCATCAGATTCTCCTAGGAATCAGGTCATTCAGCAGATTCTCCGAGGAATCACATCTCTCATCAGATTCTCCTAGGAATCAGGTCACTCAGCAGATTCTCCGAGGAATCACATCTCTCATCAGATTCTCCTAGGAATCAATTCACTCTTCAGACTCTCCTAAGAGTCATATCACTCATCAGACTCTCCTAAGAGTCAACAGCACAAGAATGTACTTCCTACACTTCTTGAAATGCATACATGCTTACAAACATACTCATGCATTCTTCACATTCATCGCATATATATATTATGCACACATCATATATGCATCAAAAAGAAAACATATATATATATATTCATCATCCATTCAAACCAATCACACATGGTTCACATTCACAAACAATTCCTTCATGCATTTCTAATCAATTTAAGCAAATGCACAAAATTGCCAAACGGCTACACCTCGCACCTCACAAATCATAAACTAGGATTCACGCCATACGGCTATCCACAACACATATGACAACACATAATCAGTCATCTCTGACAAGGAATGATCGCAACCAAACCACACAACCAATCCTCAATTGGAAAGCACAGGAAGATAAAATATGCTGCTGCATTCGCCAACCTTCGCCTGGCGAAGCCACGCAGCGAATGTTCGCTGACCTTCGCCTGGCGAACTCCCCAGCGAAGTCCACTGGGAGTAATTCTGGAATTACTCGCTGAGGCTCGCTACACACTCGCCTGGCGACCCTTCGCCAACTCACTTCGCCTGGCGAACTTGCCAGCGAAGACAGGGTGTTGCTTCTGACTTGCTTCGCTACAGCTCGCTGGACTTCGCCTGGCGAAGCTTCGCTGCCATTCGCCTGGCGAGCCTGCGAAGACAGAACTTCCATGGCTGTCTCAAGAGCCCAAACTCTACAAAATCAACCGATTAAAACCAAACCAATCTCAGAGGCACAACCCAACCATCACCCGACTAAACTACATCGTCTAATCCGAGTTCTAACCGATTAAAACCTCATTCTACTCATCAAACCAACTTCTAACCTAAGTGGGAAAAAGAGTAGAAACTCTACAAAATCCAAACACATACACATACAATCATATACATTAAAGAGATGATAGAGTTTCACACCCTTACCGATCGATTGCAAGCTTTGGTGATGATCCCTTGATGATTCTAGGTTTTCCTCTCCACTTTCTCTTCTCTTTCTCTTCTCCTCTTTTCTTTCTCTTGTTTTTCTTCTTATGTTACTATCTTTCTTTCTTTCCTCTCTTATTCTATTTCTACCTCTATTTCTTTCCTCTCAAATTCTTTCCAACACTTACCAAAAATTCTCACATTAAATTGCTAAATGTCTAAAATGCCCTTTTTACTCTAATTCCCCGAAAACTCTCTGAATCGGTAAAAATAGATAAAATAAGCAAACACCACATAGTAAAATATAATTTCTCAATTTAAAACAAACATCAATTAAATAAATTAAAAGACTCAACAATTAATGAGAATTCAGAATCGGGGCGTTACAGATGGTGCTTCGGTTCGAACTCCTTCTGGTTTCTTATATCTCTATAGCTTTTAGTGGCTGTTTAGTTTTAAGACTTTATGTTGTTGATAACTGTGCACCCGACAATGCTCGTATTCCATAATATATTTATCTATATTGGTTGAAAAATGTAATGTTAAGCAGTATTATTTTTCTTCTGTTGCGGTAATAGTTTATGGATTATATGCTAAATAGTATTATTTTTCTTCTGTTGAAAAATGTAATGCTAAGCAGTAATAGTTTCTAGACTATTGATGGTTATTAGGGATAACTTAATGAATATCCACGAATAAAATAAATGAATATTTAAATATCTATTTGTTAATAAATATGGATAAAAGTTTAATGATATTCGTGCCCACAGATATCCATATCCGTTAATAAATTATAAAAATTATTTAAATATCATTAATTTATTATACTTTATCTTTCCATCTTCTAAAAAATTTAGTCTTCTTAAATTTCTTTCATTTAAAAAAAATTCTTTGAAGAAAACCTTTCACATTTCATTCAAATTCTATAAGCCATTTCATATTTAAACTCTTCAATAGTTTGTATCTCACTTCAGCAATTTCACACTCTAACCAACTAGTGTCGTCATTCCTCTATCAAACCAGTGTCTCCCTTCCTACTCTTTTGTCGTTCGATCTTTCATTATAACTCACAATTGCAATATCTTTTATTTGTTTGGTTAAAAATGAAATGTATGGATATTATATTTGAATCTAATTATGTTTTGGTGGATAAGAAGAAAATTAATGTGATGAAATTTTATTGTTAAATTAAGAGCAAATCGTATGAATGTTATGTGATAATAGCTTTTTGTTAAAAATATTTTTTATAAAAAAATATTATCCATAGATATCATAAAACTCGCAGATTACCCACTTAACGGATACCCGCATAGATATGAGACGGATATGAATATCATATTTATTCAACGGAGCAGATACGAATATCATAATATTCGTCCCCATGAATATCCATTTACATCCCTAATGATTATTATCTATCCATAAGAAGGACTAAAAGTGTGCAAGAAAAATATTAAAATGACTATTTTTTTAAAAAAATTTTAAGCATTAAAAATATATTTAAAATATATTTAACCCTAAAGAAAATTAAATATATGTGCATGACTAGAAAATTTTCACATGAAAATGTCATTGCGTACCTAATAGTCAAGTAATCCTGCGAATCCGTCATTACTCGCTTGTGCGTTGCCAACTTGATTACTTGAAAAAGGTTGTCGAGCCCTATACTCCTATAGAAGAGATGAAGAATCCTGAATATTATGGACCATGTTCTTAAGTAATTTGCTCACGTCTATATCGACGGAGTCTTGAGCAATATATGCAAGTTTTCAGATTTGAGTAATAATACTCCCATATCATATCACCGCAGACGTCACGTGGTCAACAGATCATCATCCCCTTTGTTTCTTTCTTCCCGCACCTCCTCACTTTTATATCATTAATCATTTTCCTTTCAATAAATTAAAATTATACCATTAGTCTTTTTTTTTTGGTGTTCTGACTTTGCAATGCATACTGTTATAAGCTTTTATTTAAATTCAATAAATAGAACTGAAATAACTCCCATATTCGTATATCCATTATCAACAATAATAAAATAGACACCATGCTTACAAACAAACCTGCTTACGTTCTCTTCATTTTCTCTACCATTCAGGTTTTTCAGAAATATTACACCCTTTAATAAAACAAAATTGAAAAAGTGCGTACATCTAAATTCAGTCTTTTCACTATCGTCAACTTTACCGTATTCACACTGTTTTCACGTCCTCTTGTTTCCAACAAATTTCAAATAATGCATCAAAACTATGTTTCCCACATAAAGACACATATATTATGCATACCTCCAATGTTCTTGCAACTTTTTTTCAACACCCACCCATTACTCGTGTAACTTGAGCGCAAGCATGTCACAGCCATAGCAATGGAGCTTAGAACAATAAAAAAAACAACAACATTGACATAAAAATAAACCCGACCCACGTTGCAGAACCAGGATGCCATCATCACCAACCAAAGCTCCCTCACGTCTTTGACACAACAATTTACACCACGCGCAAGTTAGCCTCATCACACACAACCACGTAATAATAAGCACACACTCAACACTCTCTCTCTCTCTCTTCCTTCTTCCTTCCCTCTTCCTTTCTCTCACTAAAAATTTCCATACACTTTTTATAAAATACAGAATACTAACATTGCAATTTCTTGAAAAATAAATATAAAAACAATGTTTATTACGTTTTTTGTCTTGTAAACTTCTCTCTGTCTCTTTTCTGAAGCAGTTGTTGAGAGAGAGAGATTACCCGAAGAACAGATCCCTATTTCTTCATTTCTCTGCTCATTCCATCTTCTCCATCAGGTTTTCTGACATTCTCCTTTTCAATTCACCTCTCTTTCTTCCAACTCTTTTTTTCTCTCTTCTCTTCCTATATTTCTTCACAACTCTAACTTCTTTCTTGCTCTGTTTTTTTGAAAACTCAATTCGCGATTAGGGTTTATGGCTTCTGAACTTAACTTCGGAGTTGAATTTTCCTTTCTCGTGCTTATTAAGCTTTGATTTCAATTTATAACCGGCTTGTTGCTTCCATTTTCTGTTTTGAAGATTCAAGAGAGAGGAATGATTATCAAGCGGAACTTGAAATCTCAAATGCCGCGTTTGAAACGGTGTAGACTCGGTGACTCGGTCGGAGAAGATGACGACTCTTCTTATGCTTCTAAGAAGAGGAAAACGAGTGGTTATTATTATCCTTTGAACCTTTTGGGTGATGTTGCTGCCGGTTTGATTCCGGTGAGTTTTCACGGGTTGTTGAGTGCCGGTGTTTCCGAGAGGGGATTCTCTGCGTCGTGGTGCACGCGAGTTCCGTGCTCCCCTGGAGAAGATGAATCAAACTCGAAGGAGGAGATGGTTCCGGTGAAGAAAAATCAGGTTCAGCGACCGCCGTTGGTTAGAACTTCGAGAGGGCGAGTTCAGGTTCTTCCTTCTCGTTTTAATGACTCTGTTATTGATAATTGGAAGAAGGATGGAAAAACCAGTTTGGGTGATTGTGATGTTCACGATGAATTTGAATGCAAGAAGGATAGGGTAGTAGTACCCAAGACTTGCAATAACAATGTTAGAAAAGGGCGTAGCAGTGGGAAAGTTGGTTATAAGCAACGTAATTATTCGGCATTGTGTGGGGATGATGATGTTACCGTGAGTGGGAGGCATAAGAGTTTTGGTAGAAGGAAGGGTTCAGCTTTGTATGATGATGAAGTTGATTTGGCTATGGGTAGTGATGATATAGTTGATTTGGAGCAGAATAATGGAGAGAAGAAAGATGGGTTATATGGGCCAGAAGATTTTTATGCCTCTGATATAGTGTGGGCCAAAGCTGGGAGGAAGGAACCTTTTTGGCCAGCTGTTGTTATTGATCCTGTGAAACATGCACCTGAGTTGGTCCTAAGATCTTGTATAGCTGCTGCTGCATGTGTCATGTTTCTTGGCAATGCTGGGAATGAAAATCTAAGGGTATGGAATGTATGATATAAGATATTTGAATATGGAATGTTTACTCATTTACTATATAGAGCTTCTTTGCTATTAAGGAAATTTATTGTGGTTTGATTATTTGAACAGGACTATGCATGGGTGAAGCATGGCATGATCTTTCCATTTATGGATTTTGTTGACAGGTGTGAAATTGTTGGTTATTGTCTCTCTTGTTTTCATTGATTTATTTTTCGGAAGAAATTTTGTTCACTAGGCTGGATGGTGGTCTTTGATTTAGGTTTCAAGAGCAGCCTGAATTGAGTAACTATAGTCCCTCTGACTTCCAAATGGCAATAGAGGAGGCATTTTTGGCCGACCAAGGCTTTTCAGAGAAGTTGATAGATGATATAAATGCAGCAGCTTGTGCTACTGTTGATGATGATACTATTCTGAAATCCTCCTTCCGGGAGGTCTGTGGTACAAACCAGTATGGAAGAGCAGGAAAACATTTTATCAACCAGGTAATCTGCTTCATCTTTATTTATAGTTTTTATTATGTAACTATTGCTCCACGGAGTTTTGAATATTGTTGAAGTCTAGTCTTCTTTGAGGCTTCATTAATTGGAATTTGGAATTTGGAATTTTATATGCAGGATTTATTTGATAAGAAAGACACACGATCATGTGAAGCGTGTGGATTCACTCTTTCTTACAAGATTTCAAAGAAAACTAATGGTTTGACTCCTAATGGTCAATTCCTATGTAAAACATGTGCAAGGGTTAGTATGTCTTGCCTTGTTCTTCTAACTACTTATATTTAAGTGCAATGGAAACATTATGATTGAAGCTCCGTGTCTGTGTTGAAACTCTGTATTTTGTAGCCTCTGAATGAAGTCATTTATTCTTTGCAATTAAGAAAGTTTTGTATTTGTTTTGAAAATTTCATATTTTGTAGTCTCTGAAGTTATTTAGTTTTGGCAGTTAACGAAATCAAAACATTATTGTGGCATATGCAAGAAAGTTTGGAATCATTCCGATAGTGGAAGCTGGGTGAGTTAGCTAAATTCCATTAACTAATGAAAGCAATTTTTTTCCGCTAGACTGTTGCGTTGTAGTATTAAATTTCTTTTTTTGCCCTTTTGGGGTGTTCCCTTGGAATCAGGTGCGCTGTGATGGATGTAAAGTGTGGGTGCATGCCGAATGTGACCAAATTTCTAGAAACCATTTTAAGGTTTGTCCATTACTTAATATCACAGTTTTGTAGCTTCTCTTTATCAAAAGTTCATAAAATGACATTTGGCGTTTTATTGATTTGAATACTTTGTTTCTTTGAAGGATCTTGAAAGCAGGGATTATTACTGCCCTACATGTAGAGGCAAGTTTGAGTTTGAGTTATCTGATTCAGAAAAAACAAAGACAAAAGTCAGGTGAGTCTATTATTTTTCTTTCTCTGTCTTCCCTAACCCTGGTATTACATAAAAAGATGTCATTTTTCATGTGTATATAATTTGTATGTTTCTAACAATGTTGGAGGCTTTTGTGCAGATCGAACCGAAACAGTGGGCAGCTAGTGCTTTCAAATAAGGTCAATGTTCTCTGCAATGGTGTGCAAGGCATATATTTTCCAAGCCTACACTTGTAAGTACAAACTCCTTCAAAAGGCTTGGACATAATTTCCTGATGTGGCTTATCATTAAAATTACTTTCGCGGATGTCCTTGCACAACTACCATTGTTTTTTTATTGCTTTATGGGAATTAATCTCTTTCTTTAAATTTTTATTGTGGGCTGATACATATTTTTCTTCTTCAGAGTTGTGTGCAAGTGTGGTTTTTGTGGGACAGAAAAACAAGCTCTTAGCGAATGGGAAAAGCACACCGGTTCCAAATTAAGAAACTGGAAAACAAGTATTACTGTGAAAGACTCTAGGCTACCTTTAGAACAATGGGTTTGTATATATGGCTCTTATTTAACTTCAATGCATAATATTCCCTATCTATTTTGTGTTGAAAATAACCTAATGTGTTGATTATTTTATTTTATTAAAATTGTTCACGAACCAAATTCATTAGAATTGTATTATTCAGTTGTACCCAAAATGTTTTTGTATTCTTCAGTATGCATTTAATGTGCATATGGGCCTACTATTCTGGTCTCATTTATAAGTGAAAATACTTATTTTCACACTTTTTAAAGATGGTAGTCAAGGGAGTTTTTTAATGTAAAAAAGGAAATACATTTACTAACCTGTCCCTATTTATAATGGTTGTCTATTCACAATATTAATCACTTAATTTAAGGTTGTATTTAGTAGTAACATTAATTGTGGATTAATTAGTCAACATTTGCTTATATTATTTGAGTCCAACAAATATAGATATTTGTTGCTTATAATTGAGTCTGGAAGGAGTATAAGTGGAATATTGTATGCTGCATATTATTTTTATTATAATTATAATTATTAATAAAAAAAATTCTTCATCTTAAGTATTAGACCTTAAATTTCATTATAGTATTTTCCCATCAGTATCAATATATATTTTTTAATTTTGTATTCTTCAGTAACATAATGCTAATGATACTGACCTTTTCAAACTCAATAATATTGCTAATATGATGCTTTTTGAATACTCAGATGCTGCAGGTTGCCGAAGTTCATGCTAATGCTCTAGTTTCTGTCAAACCTAAAAAACCTTCTTTAAAAGAAAGGAAGCAGAAGTTGCTTACCTTCTTGAAAGGTACCCTTTTTCCCCTTCCTTTTTTACAACATTGCTATATGCTATATTTGCCACATGTTCTCATAGTGATAATGTAACTACAATTTTTTTCTCTGACAGAGAGGTATGAACCTGTTTATGCTAAGTGGACTACAGAGCGTTGTGCTGTTTGTAGATGGGTTGAAGACTGGGATTACAATAAAATTATCATTTGCAACAGGTAATATAGCATCTCCATCATTTCTAGATAACACCATCCATTTTTTTTCTTCATATGCTTGCTTGAGCTATGAAGAACTAATATGTATGATGAATTTCATTTCAATTAATACAAAAATGCATTACATATTTTATAGATGTCAAATAGCTGTTCACCAAGAATGCTATGGAGTATTAAATGTTAAAGACTTTACATCTTGGGTCTGTAAAACCTGCGAGACACCTAGAATCAAGCGGGAGTGTTGCCTTTGTCCTGTAAAAGGTTTGTCTTGCACAATATTTCAAACACATGGTATATAATGTCATCATCTTTTTATTTGTTTGGGTTGATATAGACCCACCTTTTCTTTGTGAATTCTACTTTTTGAAACTGTCTTGTCTGAATTCTTTAAATCTTGTACAATTGTTATTTAAAAAGATTTAATCATGAAAAGCCAAAGTTTTCTTTAATCATGAAAATAACTCTTAATTCTTAGATCTACTATTCTCATTAAAATTTAAAGTTATATTTTCATTAGTCAGAAAATTTCAGGTTCCAATATTTTCCAAAAGCTGAAACAAGCAATTAGAAACTCAAAAATGATTATTATTTTTTTTACATTTTTTTTCATTAAATAATCTAAAACAAACATACTCTAAATCAGTTTTTAATATTCTTGTATGAGAACTTTTTGACCCTTTTTTACAATGAAATTAGTTTGATCTGCTATTAGTGTAATCTTTCTCACATTTTTATCCACCTTTTTAAAAATATTTTTGAACTCCCAGGTGGTGCTCTAAAGCCAACAGATATTGACACATTATGGGTTCATGTCACCTGTGCTTGGTTTCGACCTGAAGTCTCATTTGCTAGCGATCAGAAAATGGAACCTGCTTTGGGCATTCTTAGCATTCCATCAAATTCTTTTGTGAAGGTGAGCTATTGACTACTACAAAATCCTCCTTGAAAGTAATTTTGGTCACCGGCAGAAGTGATTTCATCTGCTAATTTCTTCACTGTTAGAATTGTTCACACTGCATATCATAAAGATGAAAAGTATCTATCAGAGTTTATTATTCTGTCCGTTGAGTGTGGGATACAGAAAATGAGCTAAACTCCTGATTTTCTTGATATCTTAATCATTAGACGTCTCTTGGTTCAATCTAATAAATGCAATCTATGGTCTGTCCTATTTGAATTTCAGATTTGTGTTATTTGCAAGCAAATTCACGGTTCCTGCACACAGTGCTGCAAATGCTCCACTTATTTCCATGCCATGTGTGCATCAAGGGCTGGTTACCAAATGGAGGTAAGGTTTCTATTGAATTGAGTTGGCTTGCTCGGTATCTTCTAATTAGAACTTTTTCTTTATTACTAAATTTAAATAATGATTTTCAATTTATTTCCTATTTTTAAACGTTGTCTTCAATAACAATACAGTTTGATTACTACTTATGAATACTCCCCAGTCATTATTAGTACACGCATTCCCCACTGGGGCTTTAAAAATATTTGGAAAAACACCATTTTTCATCCTATAAAAAATTAACAACTCCGCCAGGGGAATGAGACTTGGTTGTTGTGTTTTTGAATGTTTCATCTTTGCCAAATCTGCCAATATTTAACTAAACTTTCTCCTTTCTAAATGCAGTTGCATTGTTCGAAGAAAAATGGGAAGACGATAACAAAAATGGTTTCATATTGTGCATACCACAGGTATGTAATCAACAATTATAACAAAAAAGAAAGATGCTTTTTCATCCTTTGTTTGTTTCTACCATTGCCTCTACGCAGTGTTTGCTTTTTTGCTCAGTACTTCTCTTCTAGTAATTGCACATTTATAAGTTTATATGCAAGTCACTTTAAGCTCAATCTTATTATCAGCCTTTCATCTTTAGTAATATCTGTTATTTCCTGCAGAGCTCCAAATCCAGACAATGTTTTGATTTTGCAAACCCCTCTCGGGATCATTTCAACTAAAAGCCTTCTTCAAAAGAAAAAAATTGGATCAAGGTTAATCTCATCTAACAGAATAAAGCAAGAAGAGACTCCTATTGATATCACTGAGCACGACCCATTCTCTGCTGCTCGGAGTCGAATCCTTACAAGAACAAATCATACCAGAAAGGTACATTGGAGAAAATTGCTCATGGTGATGAATGTTTGTAAAATAAAACAAATAATGCAGCATCGATTGTATTTGTAAAAAAGATATTAAGCGTGTGTTTGTCACACCTTTTTTCTTTAAAACACTTAACAAAAATTACCTTTGAAAGTTTTTATCTGTTTGTTACAGCTTTCTAAAAAATGAGAATAACAATCTAAATTTTTTTCAAATGAGAAGTTTTTTAAGTAGCTTCTCTTGAAAATCATTTTCAATGGATGTCTTTTTTTAAAAAAAATGATTTTTATTCCAGTAGGTAAATACAAATTAGCATTGTTTTTTTTAAAGATCTCTAAATTATTAAATCTTGTTTTTTTAGTCTGTAAGAAACAAATCTGATGTTATTTGCAAACTGGTAATGCTACCTCACCATAATGTGTCTGCTGCTGCTTGCACTGGTTCCTTTGTTTCTGTGTTCATCTTGTAGCTAGTTATCCATTGGTTCCTCTAAATTTTCATCATTTCTTTTTAAATGTTCTACTTTCTCTCACTTTTATTTCCTCTACTTCTTAGAGAGCATCTGATGAAGCAGTTTTTCATCAAGCAAGGGGTCACTGCCACCATCCTTTGGATGCAATACAGAGTTTAAATGCATACAGAGTAAACACTTTATCTTCTTGAAATTATATCAGACATTACTAATTCTTTTAGATTGATTTTAAGATACAAACTGCCCCTTTCTCTTTTATTTTTCCTGCTCACCTTTTCATACCATTTCCCCCCCAAACAGCCAGTAAAGGAGCCTCAAGCTTTCTCTTCTTTCAGAGAACGACTTTACCACTTACAGGTGCTTTTCTATCTTGGTTAGAGTATTGGTTTTGGTGGTTTATTTTTTTCTGACTTTTTTGTCGGTACACTGGTATGATTTCAGAGAACCGAAAATGAACGGGTTTGCTTTGGTAGATCTGGCATACATGGATGGGGCCTCTTTGCACGTAGGAATATTCAAGAAGGAGAAATGGTATGGATTTCATGCACAAATTACCTTTAACGTAACAAAGACACACGACATACTCCTGTGTGTTGAATTGTTGATCAATCATCATTACTGCAACATTATGATGACTCATGAAATCGATGTTCTGTATCGGTTATATTTCTAGATTTCCCAGTGATTGATATCAGCACCTTTTTAAACAACAATAATGAACTTGATTTAATTCTGAGCAGGTTCTTGAATATCGCGGGGAACAAGTGAGACGCAGCATTGCTGATTTGAGGGAGGCACACTATAGAGCAGAAGGGAAAGACTGCTACGTGAGTTAATTTCTCTATCTCATATATGAAAGTATCACAGTCATCTCTTTATTCATAATCACATGTTATGACACACTAAAATGCTTAACCCTCTTACTTTTGCAGCTGTTTAAGATAAGCGAAGAAGTGGTGGTAGATGCCACTGATAAAGGGAATATAGCACGACTAATCAACCATTCTGTGAGTCACCCTAAAACTCGAATAGATATTTATAAATCCGCTAAACTGTATAGTTGTCTTACTCTTACTGGTTGTTTGGTTCATATTAATACAGTGTATGCCAAATTGCTATGCAAGGATCATGAGTGTGGGAGATGATGAGAGCCGAATTGTACTTATTGCTAAGACTAATGTATCTTCTGGGGACGAGCTAACGTATACACATCATTCTCTTGGTGCTTGTGATTGTGCGCAGTTTCATTTTGATATTGTAATTGATGTTATTTTGTTATGTGCAGTTATGATTACTTATTTGATCCTGATGAGCCAGATGAATTTAAAGTCCCCTGCATGTGTAAAGCTTCGAGTTGCAGGAAATTCATGAATTAGGAAAAGATTATACAAAAGTGAAATGAAGATGATAGGACAACTGATATTGTTTCTTCTCCTTGAGGAGCAAAGCACTAACCCATCCCCTTCTACAGGGAAAATCTCACAGTTACACCAAAGCCGTAGTTTTTACCAAACCAAAACTAGGGACAGCAAAAAAAACAAAAGAAAACAAGCATAGATTATGTGTTTTTATTTTCCCTTTGGACATTCATTGAGGTCTAATAAAAGTTATTAAGATTTAGCAGCATTTGGCTCATAGCGTGTCTTTTCTGAGTATAAGAGTTATATACGACAGTGTAAATTTTTTTTTATTAATCACAACTGTTGATTAGTGTAAAGATTTTTTTATTAATTACAATTGTTGATTTATTTAAAAAGTTTAACTTTTATTTTAACCATTTGAAATAATACCAACGGATAGTTGTGATCCATTAACGGTGTAAAATTTAGTGTAAAATTTTTTACACTGACAGTGACAGTGCATAATAATTAATCTCTTTTAATAATAAGTTTCTAAAAAAATTATATGAAAATTTAAGTCTCAGATTTTTTTTAAAAAATATTTGACATGTAGTTTGATATTTCTAAGAAAATGGATAGGTATAGTATGTTTTTAAAGTTAAAACAAATAAAAACAACAAGATATTCATTTTTGTGCATATTCATATAAAAATTAGATAAAAAATCAAATCATAAATCGTTTTATGAAATAAGAATTGCACATATGATCTTGTGATTACGATTAATTGCTAACTAAAATAATTCTATGATGGGAATTACTATAAGTTAGGTAGGGCTTGTATGACGCACACTATTTTTATTTTTATTTTGTGATAAAAACAACACCGTCCTAGTATTTGTGTAGCATACAATTTGAAATAGTTAAACTATGATAAGGAGTTTGTTTTTCTGCTTTAAAGAGAAATTGCTTGTCGGTAAAAAAAACTCGCTTTGCCAATCAAACAAAGCCATGTAAAAACAATTTGGCTGAAAATGAAATAAAACAAAATTTAAGATATTATTTAGAATTCAGTTTTTGCATCGCCCCTAAGTAATTGATAGACCGAGTTTTAAGTTACAATGAAATTAAGGAGTCGAATTACAAGGGTATTTACTAGGGATGGCAAAATGGATGGATTGGATGGATATGGATTGGATTGCTAATGGATGGATTAAAACAATCCATTAGTCCATTAAAATCCACTAAAATTTTATAAAAATTATTCAATCCGATTCATCCATTAAGAATAAAATCCATCCAATCCATCCATTAACATATTTTTAATGGATGGATATCCATCCATCCAATTTTTTTTTAATTTCGTAAAAATAAATTTTTTTTTTTCAAAAACAAATTAGATTTTTATTCTGAAAAAAAAAATCGATTTTTTTTCCAAAAAAAAAGTCGGTTTTTTTTTCGAGAAAAAATTTTATTTTTTTTCGAAAAATAAATCAGTTTTTTATTCTGAAAAAAAAACCGATTTTTCAGAAAAAAAAACCGATTTTTCAGAAAAAAAAATTGATTTTTTTCTCGAAAAACAAATCAGTTTTTTATTCTGAATAAAAAAACCGATTTTTTTCCAAAAAAAAAAGTCGGTTTTTTTTTCGAGAAAAAATTTTATTTTTTTTTCGAAAAACAAATCAGTTTTTTATTCTGAAAAAAAAACTGATTTTTTTCCAAAAAAAAAGTCGTTTTTTTTTCGAGAAAAAAAATTATTTTTTTTTCGAAAAACAAATTAGTTTTTTATTCTGAAAAAAAAACTGGTTTTTTTTCCAAAAAAAAAGTCGGTTTTTTTTTTCGAAAAACAAATCAGTTTTTTGTTATGAAAAAAAAAACAGATTTTTTTTCAAAAAAATTAATTTTTTTTTCAGAAAAAAAAATATAGTTTTTTAATTATTTTAAAAAAAATCTAATTTTAAAAAAATAAATCTAACGAAAATAAAAAAAATCAATTTGATCCTTAAAATATGTTGGATGGATTGAATCCATCCATGCATATAAATGGATGGATTTAATCAAATCCATTAACTTATTTTTTTTGTGGTGGATGGATTGGATGAATTTTTTGATGGATGGATTGGATGGATTTTGCCTTAATGAATTTAATTGCCACCTCTAGTATTTACCTGGTTGACTTGAGTGGCTGCCATAGCCCATAATCGTCCCTGACAATTGACAAGGTCATCTTATGTCATGTTTTTTTTTAGGTTCAGTTTTATGAAAGAGAATCACAAACTCTCCCCTTCAAAACAACCACATCAATAGTTAAACCTTATGATGCTCAACATGAAACTCATTTTCTTGTTGAAGAGTTTTCTAAACCTTCTAAATACGATGCTATATTTTAATATATCATATTTTATTTTGTGTTACGGCAATTTTATAACTTTTTGGATTATTTTCATTGCTTTAAATATATTTTTGAAGTTAAATTTAAATTTGCTTTGATTTTATTTTTGTTGTGTATTTCGGAATAAATTATAGTTTGCTACCTTCTCACTCTGTAAATCATAACTTGAGCTATGAGATGCTATTTGACGCGTCCTAATATGCGTTGGAAAGATAAGAGAAAGAACTACAAGTTTTATGTTGAAATTAAAAGGCAATTCCGAGTGCAGGAGATTCAATTATCAGTTTTGTTCCCGATTTAATAAAAGTAAATTAGTTAGTTTTGGGGCAGCTTATGTTTTTCGGGCCAATGCTCTTAAAGCCCAATTTTCTTTATTATTTAAGATAAACTTAGTATTAAGAAAAGTGAGACAGTTTTTAGGAATTAGAGAGAGCATTAGGATTACATGGTCAACTAACCTTCAAGATTAATTTACTGTTTCAGAATTTCATAAAGACTTTGAGGTTATTATATTATCTGTCTTTATTCAATTCCTTTCAATCTTGTTTTGTGTATTATTTTTTGTTTAATTCGAGTTGCATATAATAGTGTTAATTAAATTTTATCGATGCGTGTTCCTTAACTTCGTGTGTTAACATAGCTAACTTTGCTCGATCTTCATTTGTCGTGCTTAATGTGACAAATAGGAATATAATTCACATGATGTTGATCAAACTTGTTAATCGATACTATAATCAAATAAGAATTAATTCCGCTTATAGAGTTGGTGATATAATAACCAATGATAAGTCTGAAATTACTGAAGCAGTAGATTAATTTGTTAATCATAATCGTAATAGTTTTCTTTATTTTCAATTGTTCGAAAATATAAAACTCCCTTTTCATTTCTTTTCTTTGGTTAAATTAACTTAGAGTCTTTGTGATATGACTCGAGCGTCGCTTCCTTATTCTACACTTTATTTAGTTGTTTTTGACCCATGTGTGACGAGTCAATATTCCTCAGCAACATCGTCAGATATCTCATGGTGATGCTTTTTTCCTGCCTCGAGGAAAGATTCTACCTCAAGAATCTAGGCAACCAAGGTGAAAGGAGAGTCGTGGGCCTTTTCCTACTCTTGCAAAGCTTCAACAAGTTTATTCTTTTCCTAGAGGTCGGTCATCTCCTTTTGGAAAGCAAATCACTTATGCTTTATGTCATCACATTTTCCTTTCCAGATATCCCTTTCCTTGGAAGGATTACCCACAACCAAGTCGTCACCTCGATCGACGACAACTACAGAGAAAGAGGGGTAGCCCGATATGTATGTTAGGCGACCTCAGAAAGAAGCTCTTTCTTTTCCATCTATGGAAGGCTCTAAACGAAGGATGAATTTTGTGTGGACATACTAATAACATCTATCTCGGAAGTGCAAGGAATTCGAGAGGAAAGAATTAAGGGAAGTAGGAGGAAAGGAATAATTGACACTGAAGCAACATCACAAGATAAACAAGCTCGTTTAAGAGAGTTTTCCTATAAAGGAGAATGTTGGTCCTGGTCCCAACCCCAATTCACGGAGCAGGGAAAGGTTGTGGTGGATCTTCCACATACAAAGTGGCAGCAGTGGTTGTGAGCTGATCAACCCCGGGGTAGCTACAATAGCCTCAACAACAAATGAGGGTGAAAAAGTTGTAGGGGAAGCATAATTATCCAGGAAGCATAGCTACGTTTGATGCCTTAAGTGTTGGTAAGAGAATAAATCATTTGAAATTTATCCATGTTATTTGTAAGATACAGTCACACATGTTAAAAAGAACTATAAGACTCCGTCCTCACCAAATATCTCTTTCCTCTCTGGATGGCCGACCGCGCTAACAATAGCGTGGGTGTCAATTCATTTCTTCCTCTGCAAAGAAGACAACACTTCGGCGGGGCCAAACCTCTATTCTAAACCAAGTCTTTGATACAAGGACCCCACTTAATTAGTCGCCTTCATCTCACACGCAGTAGCTAGGAACAAATTCCTAACCATACTTACTCTTAGAAAAGTTATCTTATCCTCAGTGAAAAATTCAAAAAATTGATTCTTGATGACAATAATGTCTTCTCACGTTGCCTTCTACATTGTCTTTCTAGCCCAATGAATAAAAATCTGATGCACTAGTTTCTCTTCATTTCTAATCACACGATTTGCCAACACCCCTTCCCGATTAATCTACTCCCCCTCATCAATCTCCATACCTTGAGGTTATACATGCTCCACTTCATATTCTCCCACTTCCTTTTTTAACAATGAAACATGAAATATCATATGTGACCTTGACCTAGTTGGTACCTTCAATTTATACGCAACGACTCATACTCTTTCAATTAGAAAATTACTTTTTCCACCCTTAGGGGTTCTCCCACACCAACGTAAAAAGACTTAAATGTCCCAGCGTCCAGAGATGCATCTTCGAACGCTCCTTTTTCAGACATAATTGAGGTGAAAATAGTGAGAAACCCTTATTTGATTAAAACTTAATCCGAAGATGCATCTTTGTATGCAAAAAAGGTTGATTCGGAGATGCATCTCCGTAACTCCCCTTAGTTCATTAGTCTGTGAGCTTTCCGGAGATGCATCTTTAGAATATGCTTTGTTAGTTCAAAATAGGAACAATTAGAAATAG